AATAAATATTTTACCATGTGATTTGGCGCAGTCGTTATGAAGTTATGTCGAAAAATATTTGTCCAAAGACTTTTGCACCAGACTGTACATATAAACCTAGATTATACTAGTTCAAGGTCTGAATGACAAGTGTGCGAAATTTCAGATCAAACGGATTAAAATTGGAGAAGATAAATCAGGACGCTCAAAATGTATTTATTATTAATGGTCTTTGATTCGTCTCATTTTAGATTGGTCGATCTTTTTTGGTGATAAAAGTTTTATCAAATAATCAATATTTATTTTATTAAACAAAAATTTTTTGACAGGGTGTCCCGGAGGTACATTTTCGTAAATTTGGATATTATTTACCTCAGAAACATATTGTATATTGTACACCCTATAATTACCGTATTTTCATAATAAAAAAAAAATTCTTTTTATTATTAAAGTAAGTTGTTAGTTAATCTATCAGTTTTTTTTTAAAAAATTCTTTATATTCCAAATGTCTTTCAAGAAAGAGATTCAAACCCATTACAGAAAGCACAGTTAGACAAATAAAAGTTGTATATTTTCTTCATTAACGTTATTATTATAAATAGTCGTACAAGATCAAAAAAATTTGTATTTGTTTTGTGTAATTTATGACGACCAAAAAAGTAAAATATTTAGCCAATATATAAATGGTCGAAAACTCGAATTACAAAATTCAGGTTCAGCAATTTTCTAAGGAAAGCAACACAATATTGAAGATAAAGTTTATTACGTTCAAATTTAAGTTTAATCATTATTGATATAATTTATAGTATGGTTTGCCATTAAATCAATTAGGTCAGACTACATTATGTGTTATTTAATATGACGACGAAAATTCGTGCCTTAGTAATTACCCACGAAAGTAACTCGTATTTATTTTTATCCTTTACGTGTGATTCCATAATTTAATATTTTGTATTTTATATATTTCATACGCTTTCGATATTTATGTATTCAAAAGAATAATTATTTTCCTTTTTGTATTCAAGACTTTATTGATCTGCATTATACATAATATGGAATTTGGAGTTTTATAAAATAAATTTTTGAAAAATTTTACATTGGAAAAAGTAAAGCATACACGATTTAATGTACATGTATAGAGTATAAGATTAAATATGAAAAAAAAAAAAATTATACGACAGGATTTACTATCAAAAAATTGATGAATCTAAATATTATACATTTTTTTTTTTTGTAGTGCTCGGAACGAAGAAAGTACCTGTGTTATAAAGAGTGATTGTTCAACATCACTACAAACTTCTAATAAAAAATGTTTTTAGACATGCTAACTACATTGAGGAGATCTTAAAAATTTAATACATGATATCACGTATTTTCCAAGGTTAACATCCGAGTTCTTCGATGGTAAAAAGTTTGAAACTATGGCCTATGACTACTATTATATATCTGAAAAAAAGCTCGAGGTTTTCTTTTGGTCGATGTAGTTGCTTTATTATCTCGCTTTTTGATTCAAGTGTGTCGTTCCCCTTAACGCTAATAAGTAATAATTCGGAAAATATAGCAGCTCCTTCTTGTAATATATGGATCTTTAATTTATTTGAGCCTGATTGTATGGCGTTGAACGTGATTTTCTGTTCGGTCAATGCTGGATTTGTCTTCCATAATACGTTAATACTCTTTGAACCAAATATCTTGAAAAAACGACATTTCTTGATATTAAGGTTTGACAAACGTTCTCATTTATAAAAGTTGGGCCCAACCTAATTCCGTGAAATAATTCATGGGTCTTTCCGAAATGATGTAATAACCACTCAGTTTTGGCGTAGGGATCTTTTGAAATGTCAAGGTAGAGATGATTGGATTTTTCTAAACAATAAGTAAAGCTTGACATGATTATTATTATTTTCTTTTTTTTTTGTAATGTTGTCAATAGGAAAATCACCGAATGATGGAAAAAAGTAAATGATATAACGAATTTTTAGAATGCTGATAACAAGGTGTTTCGAATTTCACTTATATATGAATACTTCATACATCGGTAATGAACCAATTAACCTAAATTAAACCTCATTCACTCATTTCTAAAAATAATTTGTTTTTCAAACAAAGGAAATTCCTGCTTCATTCTGTGAAGGAGTCCTGCCACATGAGAAAAAAAATTTTGCATTTTCCTTTCAAAAGCTCTACTTTTTAGGTTAAAGCTTAATATGATTGGTACTTTCAATCAATATCTCTTTGCAGTTATTACTGGTGGCTTTTACTATAATAAAAAGATGAAATTCTTGGACAAAAATCATCATGATTTGATAATCTCGATTAATGATCACTGTTGGTCTCTATTTTGAGTTTTATCTTAGTACTTTATAGTTCTCACGTTTTTGTCGGAAAATTTATTATTGGCTAGAGATAACCGATTTACACGTCGAGTAGAAAATAATTATTTGTCACAGAACATTTTCATTGTAGTTTACATTACGGCTAGATGTTTAGATGGTTAGTCCATTCTTTTATTCGTTTAGAATTTTTTTCAAAGATAAGAGATTTTTGGTACTGATTGGTGGGAAGATCTGCGAAAATTTTGCCTTTTGGTACTTTTGCTCCTCACTTTTGATTTTAAGCTAAATCTGGAATTCATTGAAAGTTTTTTTTTTTTGACTCATGACATGACATGACATACATACATGCATATGGGCGTTTGTAAATCAAAAGTAAAATACAATAACAAATATTTATTTACCTCTAAAACTTAGTTTAAATAATTGTGTTTTCTAATAAACTTTTATATATTCCATTAAATTCATAAAGATTATCTTAAAGTTAAGGTTAGATGGAAGTCTCTTTTCTATTGACAAACGCCAAGGTACATTTTATAACAATTAGGGACGCTAATGTTGGTCTTGTGGATCCCTAACAAATAAATCCCGTTTATGAAGCAATCAAACATATTGATCTTGTAATTTATTATTCTAAAATGTAAGTTGATTAATTGAAATTTTTACAATTGGATGTATTTAAACAAAGGTTAAAGTTATGTAGACATTCTATTGTAAGCCACTACAGATTATTTTGTTTCGCAAGTATCAGGTGAGTTTTTATTTTCATTTCAGGAGTAGGGATTGAACATTTCGATTTTGATATTCTCTAAAAGGTTTATTTGATTATTTAATTTATTTTTTTTTTTTATTAAATTATAGATATACAATTTATTTTATTTTATTTGGGCAGGTTGGATGCTGCAGGCCTTAAAGCAATGCTCTAGTTTTAAAATTTTTTTTTAATAACCTTTTGAGAAAAAAATTTTCACGTTCACAAGTTTCAAACTAGTACATTTTCCAGGAAAAAAAGCGGTCTATTATCTTCTAAGCTATTTACTGTAATAACACGTTTCAATTCTAAAAACAGTGACAAAAGCTGTAATACAATTTTCACAGGCATATGTAATCTCAAATGAGAACGGCAATAGGTTCATGTGAAGAATTTTATTGTTTTTCTTTTTAGAAGTACCATTTAAACAATCAATCTTCTAATATATTGTTATCGTCGAAAGTTCTATTATATCTATCAATGAAATTTCAAAGAAAAAAAAAATGATGTTTCATAAAGTTATGAAAATCGGAAATTTATTATTAAAAAACTATATATATTTTTATATTGTTAATAATTTATCTATGTAAAATACTGTAATTTTGATTTGTTGCCGTAGTACAAAAATAAACTCGTTTGTCTGTCAAATTGTTTTGCGTTGCCACACTTCAATTGACTCACATCACTTGCTGACATAGTTTCGACTTTGATCGCCCTTGCTCATTTCCTAAAAAAAAAATAAAAAAAATTACATATCGTACTTCCAACATGAAAATGGAAAACTAAAAAAAAAAATTCTCGATATAATTGCTGCGGTCCGCAATGATCCAACCGATTAGAAAAAATGAAATAAAAAATCATTTAATGAAAAAATGAAATCAAAAGAAATCGAAATCTCTCGATTAGTGCGCCCGACCCGTAACTAAAAAAAAATAAACTGACTCACCTGATACTGTGTAAGTTTTCTGATCCGAAGAGGATCTAAATAAAAGAAAGGGTGTGCAAGATTTTTGGAAATATCGTTCAATCGCTGTAGCCTGAAGCGATCGAATCCGGAAATTAAAAAAAATTTCGAATGATTGCTGAAAATAATTTAATCGACAGCCACGATCATGAATTGTTAGCTTATCTCAAACGAAAAAAAAACACGTACAATTTAAAATTTTTAGTTATTTTAGACAAATAAGAAATTTTTTAATTTTTATGAGTTTTCTTTCTTAATGTACCTTTTAATAGATTTTCTTAATCATTCCAATTTAATTATAAAGGGAAAATTTAGTTAAAATAAAGAGGTATTAAAGATATATATATATTTTTTAAAAAAATTGATACTTTCCAAAAATATTGCGCCCTTTTCTTTTTAAGTTTTTTAGTTTTCAGGAGTGATTGAATATTTTTTTCGCCTTTGGTTTATTTCTATCTATCATTTTTTTTTAATTATCAATTAATTTATTTTTTATTGTTTTAGATTCTTTTCGGATTCATGAGATCTGTTGGATCTCTGTGGCAAGACTTTTATTTTATTTATGTTATATTCTTTTCTTTTTCTTTTTCTTTTAGACCGGCTTTTAGGCGATTTCTTTCGGCATCAATAAGGTTGCCGGATGTTTCAACAGGCGTCGAAATCAAAACCCCGTCGAAACGTTTTGCCAAATATTTTTATTAAAGGCAAAATTGCGAAAGTTTCGACGGATGGCAAAATCCATCGAAACCAAAAATTTATTATTTTTGTTTTACGAGATGAACAAATCGTACATAGCAAAGATCACTTTCTTTTATAATATCATATATTTATATATTTATAAAGAATATGAAAAAAAAAATTCAAAAAATTTACATATCGAAATTGAATTATTTATTTTTCATCAAGTCCAGTTACATCATTTACTTCCCATACTTTCTTCATTTAAACTCATGATAGTATTCTTCTTCATCCATTAAACTTTCATTTGAACATTCGGATTTAAACCCAGATATATCCAATTCGAATTTAAATCCGGATACAAAGCACAAAACCGGATTCTCATGCAGC